AGTAGGTCGGAATTAAGATTTTTGTAGATACATTTCCGAAAATTTGTTTACACTAGAATATGAATAAGTTCCTGCTGAGAAATAGTGGAAAAAATCAGAAGAAATCGAAAAATCGACGTAATGTACCCCCATTTATAACATTTTATGGTACTTATCTAAAGATATCAACATTTTGAAAAGTTTATCACATGCCTTTAAAAGCAATAGAGGTAAATTTGTTTGCAGTGAAATTTCTTATTCAAATATGTTAATGCAATTAGTAAGAAATTCCCGAAAATGTGTTAAAATACTGTTTTGAAAAACTTTCCAGTGACACCTAACTAACCAGCAAAATAAAGTTTAGTCTTTTATATGTACAAAAATCAAGGATTATTGTTATTTAAAATCAAAAACAGGCATCCCATTTTTTGAGTCTTGTTTTGAAGATAACTTCAATTTTTTGTACCTATATTTCTGAAACTTTTGGTCGGCTTTTTATAAGCAAATCTTCACAAAATGTTATTTTTAAACCTTTTCCGAAATTTTTCATTTTTACTCACTGCAAAATTTTTATTTACAATTGCACAAGAGTATTTTTGATTTCATACATTAGAAATAATGGATAATCATGATAAAAAATAGGAATACGTAATGTCCTTTATTTGTTCTAATTTTTTCTAATATCTCCATAAGTTCTTTATCTGGAGCATGCCGAAGCTCTGTTATCAAAACATTGCTTTTATTTCTACAAAAATCTAAGTTCTGGTTATCTATAATTCATCCTACAAAGATTTTTATCTATGTATCCTATATGCTAGTGCATTTTGAGACTAGCAGATATGCCTTGCTTCATACGTACTCTCATGTTTAGTTCTGCATGATTTAAATATTTCTCTTGCATGTACTCACTATTCACTGCGTTTGATTTCGGACAGAGTTGAGATATGTACCATAACGGTAATATAATTTCCGATATTATAAAGTTATTTGCTTAACAATGTGCATCTCAATGCAGTTAGTATGTATGTTAGTTGCTGTGTGTACGCCGAATAGCTAGCCATCCCATTGCATTGTGAGTAGTTTAGTGGTTATTAGTTTCGAACCACATTAAAACAATGAATTTTTCAAATTCATTAGTACAAAATTCCAAGTGAAGCTAAATTGTCGGATGATCGATGCCATGAAGGTTGTAGTCCCATGGGTCCATCAACACTCATCCTATGATATATCCTACTCTATATATTTCTCATTTAATTGAACCAATGACTATGAGCTATATACAAGGAAAGGCCAACTTGAACAAAGAAATTAATCAAATATATATCCACAGAGAAAAAATAATAAATCCGACAAAGGTATAAAAGTTTGGTAAATATTGAAAAAAAAATGATCAAAACATATTTGAACCAAGTGGCCGATAAAAACAAAACACTCTATTGTAGTTTAATAATGGTTTGTAAGTAACTAAATATTCGTCAAACTGAATTTGTAAAATTTTTCTGGTAAGACGAATAACACATCACTTGTCCATTAAGTAAGGTAGAATCAGATACACTTCATGAATTAAGTTGTTCAATACAGAATTTTTCAATTGATTTTTATTACCTTATTGATATAAATAACCCAAAATCTACGTAAACTTCTGTTACAAAAAATAGAAAATAGGTATAATTTGGGGATAATACTCTGTCTATGTTTATACATTGCAAATTATATTGTCAATTATTGGTTTTATAATTACACAGCACATTACAGCACAGCAGATGGTTGCCCAAGTAAACTAACTAAATAAATTATTGGAACTAATCGTACCATCATTCTTTAAGGCCCCAGCATACAATAGCTAATACTGGCCCACTATAGGCCTTCGCGATTGTGTATATTTGTAAATTTTGTAAAACACTCAGTAGAGCAGTGTACTTTTTAATGAAATATTCTTTCCGGTATCAATATAAAACTGTTGCGAATTTTCTGTATAAAATACCGTTAAAGATTTATCCATGGACCACCCAGCTACTTGTTTTGACCAACTTGTCCGTTACATTTCCTTGTCAAACTATTCAAACTGATCCATCAAACACGCCCAAAAAGAACCGAAGTACCGGAAAAATCCCGTTAGGTCAAGGAGTTCCGATTATTTCATCCATCTAGAAAGGCTACCAACGGTACTGTATCTATTTAAATATTTTTCTATAAAAAGGCCTTCTCTATTGTATTAATGTTTCCATTTTGAAATTAAGGTATGAAGACCTATTTTTGTGGCATTGTGACCATTTGTGCCACCATCTCTGTTAGTTAAATTACTCAATCTTAATTTGGTAAGAAAAATTACTTTTCACTTTTTAAATTTTTACCTTACTTTTCGTCTCTTCGGCGATCCGAATCTTGTTACTATATTATATGGTTTATGATTTGACTGGTGTTACCTATCAAATTTCCTTTTAATTAAGACCAGTACTCCTCACTGACTTAGCAAATTCTTTTAACTCCAGCCAATCATCATAAGGAATTTAACGGTGCTGAAGCCAATCCTCTAGCTTTAATTCGATTAACAACTTTATCAAATTTATTAAGAGTACTTTTCTTCTATTCTAGCCCAAGTCAAGTGATGTAGTTTTCACGTTAAGAAAGTTTATTTAATAATACAAGAGACTGAATTTAGTTACGTGATAATATGTAATATGTATTTAAAATATTTTTTTATAAAAAGATCATATTTCATTGTTCATATTAATATTAATTAATAGTTTTGTTCAGTCTTTATTTTAAACATGTTTAAATCTAAATTGATTAACTAAACAGTAAATTTTTGTTCTTTTTGCGTATTTAAGTAAATATTCTCATTTCATTGCATGGTTTTTTTATTTGTAACGATGAGTCCAAGCCATCACCGTTAAACCAGCGTGCGCGCGAACCAACCCATGAAGTAGGAGTGTATCGACAGTAGAAAGGGCAAATCTTTGCTATATAAACCGCATTATTTCCTCATAGAGGCAGAATCGTCAGGTGTTGACTGAAGGTTCTCTTCTCCCCTACCCCGGCTTGTGGACGTGTTGAGTTCACAAGTTGTTTCCGTTCCATACCGCCGTTATCCGGAGAGCGTGTTGAGCTCTCCACTACCCGTACTCCGAAGCAGTCGTGTTGAGACTGTCGAGGAGTGTCCTATTAACCCGAATCACTTGAGGGACGTGTTGAGTTTCTTTCTTTCCTTTGTACCTATCGTCCGCTGTTATTAAATCGACACATCGTTCACGTAAAATTCCGAAAACACACTTGATTGCCGATAACACTAATTTCATACGACAAGGTCAAACTTAATTTGAATAAATAGGCCAGGTACTGAGAAGACTAAACTAAATTGTAAATATGTACATAAGATTTTTGTCGATTTAATTTAAGGAAGACAATAAAGTTTTATTTTTATTTTGAACTCTGTCTCTGACTGTCCAAAAGCTACCCGGATAGTGACTCCTACGAGAGGACGTCACATATTTGCAACATACAGTTAATCCATTGCATTGCATTGACTGTTTTCATGTTTTTTTTTATTTGATAACATTATGATATTTACCATATTTGATATTTTTGATATAGTAAATTTTATCATTTTTTATTTTTTATCATATTTGAAGTGTTCCCTTTGTTACATGAATATCCCATTTCTGTTTTTTTTTGCAATTGATATATTTAAAAATAGAGGCACTTTTTTTCGAGAGTTGTTCTATTTGCTGTTCTTTTCATGTTTCTTGTCTATTTTTCGTGTGTTTCTGCCCATAATCTGCCAGGGCCGAGCAAGGTTACATAGTGAATCAGCGTTTTAAGTTTACTTCTAAGTCATTTAGTTCTCTATAAATGGTACGAGGAATCATTGATGCATGATGAAGGATAATTACCGGTACGTCATGATTCGTGACGTGGAATGGGGATGTTATTGCTTTTTTTTTTGGAAACACTTCAAAGGAGTGGCCAGTGGTGTTGACACAATTACCCACTGTCGTATACAAATAGATTGGCGCGGTCGTAATTACTTCCACATCCATCTTAAGTACCTCGTCAGACAGCATTAGGCCATGCACCACTGTGTGAACAACTGATCGTCAATGGACGACGCTGGTCTACTCTTGATCATTTGTGTACTGGAGCCTTAATAATAGAAGATGACCTCGAAGTATCACTATAAATGGTATTCGATTGATCTGATAGAAACAAATATTTAAAAACACGAGGATGGCAACCAAAATTACTTAGTGTATCTAAGCATAAAACTTGATACATTTGTGTTGAGAGTAAAAAACAGAACAAAACCACCAGCATATAAGCTACCAAGGTATTATAGATGGAATAATAAAAAAATACTTAGTCATTTATAAATTGCGTCGGCTGGATAGGTCAACGGGTTGGCGGATTCACTTCGTGTTGAGTAAGTCTAATAGATACTAGGTTCGAGTCACACGCCATTCCAGGAAATCTTTTAAACTCTAGTGGATTTGCGGTTCTCAATTGAAATTAGCTTTTTGAGGAATTAGAAATAGATGGATAAGGCGTTAAAACACTGCAAGACTGGGACATACATACACTAAAAAAATATAATTTAACAGAAGATCATGACCAAAACTTTATCAAAATTAACAAGAAAGCTTAATTTATAAAAAAAGATACAACAAAATCCTTTTGAAATGTTAAGTACGATATCAAAAAAAAATGTTTTTAATTATTTAGTTTAATAACTATTGATAAACACAGTCTTGAAAATTATTATTATTACTTTTTCAGACTTACTCATTTTTAAACTTCTACCTTAATTAACGGAGTTGTGACTACCACCTAGACTGTTGAGACAATTAAAAAATTTAAGGTATCTCGCAAATACCTATCCGAACATCATTCAATTTTTTTACATTACTTTGTATTTCCTTTCTTTTTACCTAGGTACTTCTTAAAAAGTAAGTAACCGATAATAATACTAATATTGTGAGAGTGTAGGCACTGAAGTGATAGGTTACGGTTAGACCGGTAACCCGCTAGTCTTTCACAAGCCTGTAGATGTGGTGTTGCGCTCCATGTTCCGAAGTCGATACTTCGAATACGTACGCAGTACATAAGAGAGTTTCTTGAGTATCTCTGTTACTTACAACCTAAAACATACGATAAGGTTAGTTAAACGGATATAAAACAAATAAATTGATTTGTTTTCGATAAACTAACTTATGACAGATTTTTAAATTTTATCAAATATAAAAGATGAGTCCTTATAAAAGATGCAAAAATTAAACAAAAAAAATTTAAATAGCTTGAAACTTGTACATTAATTCTATTAATCAGCAATACCTCAATGTGGTCGATGTAGGGGTGGGAATTTTCATAATAAATATAAATTTTTCTAACATTTTATATATTTCATCAGTTTTGTAACATGTTTTATGCATGTTTGGTATAATTCTTCTTGTTAAAACTCAACTTTAAAAACATCACAATAGATAGGAGCACAGTTGAGTGGAAAACGGAGTTAAATATCTAGGCCATATTCTAATAGATTAAATATTATACAATCCTGATGTAAGAAGTTAGTCGTTGTCATTAATTTCCATTTATGACCACTACTATGAATTTTCTGTGCGGCAAGTAATATTACATTGATTCTTTGAATAATCGTAACAGTTTAAGAGGATAAATATTTACGATTGTATAAGCCACATTTAAATAATCTATTCAGGAACAAAATACTTCATTTTACACACCTAATAGGGAATTTATGACCAGCGACAGTAGCTTCGCTCGGAAATGAGGTACAGTTCGCTCGGTACACAGACTAACCTGCTACACAAGTACGGAATAGAAATTCACTCTAAAATTTTTGTGCCAACACATCTTGTGAACTTATTTTGTGCGAAAAAGTAGAAAATGATATACAAAATGCAGCATTGGTGCGAATAAGTTTAATTACTCATTTGTCATAAGTGATGTGAAAAAAAATATTTAGGTAAAATTTGGAGCATAGATATGACCATACGCTTACATATTTTAAAATATACAGGGCCGCTCATATTGACGGGGTGGAATAAACTTATCTTTTTTTAATGGAACACCCTGTATGTTTTTACATTTTTGAACTCTGACACTTCGATTTCTTTCAGTCTAGAATAGGCCTCCTCCTGCTTGACTCTGAAGAATCTCTTTAAAACGTAAGATTCCAATAATTGTCAGTATTTCTTTGGAAGAACTCGCTTTAGTATTTTAGTTTGTGAATGAGGCCCTTATACTCTATCAAAAGCTTGAGCAGTATTCCGAAAGACGGCTTAAAATAAGTTTATTTTCTTCCAGTGCTCTTTCTAAAACTAAAGATCGTATGAGGTTCATTTTCGTCTATTATTGGTTTTTAATCTTTCAGCAATAGCCTTTTAAATAGTTTCGATAGTATAGGCAGTAGAAATATAGATCTGTATGATGAAACTTCATTTGGCGAATTACCTGGCTTTACTATAATTATGAACTCCACAACTTTCCAGTAAATCGGTACATGCTAAATCATGATGCATTTATTAAGCGAGTTATTTTTATTATACCTTTTTTGGAAGCTGTTTTAACGAATACAGACACTTTTTTAGGACTAAGATTTTCATTTATCCCCTTTTGAACTGCTTTAGGAGTAACAACTTCCCTTTTGGTCTTGGTAAATATCAGTCAGTTACCAAAGGCCATCTCCCTCGTTTGGTTGGAATGTGTTTTGTAAATAATCTGTAAAACGTTTAGCTTTTGTTCATTGTTTCTGGTCCAGCTACTTTCTGCATTTCTTATTAGAGGGTTCTGCATGATGGGTCTCTTTAATTTCTTAATAGCCTTCCATAATAAATAGTCAGTTTTTTTGTCATGTCAATTCGCTAAGGTAAAGTCCAATTGATTTATTTGTATTTTTTTATTCTCTCTTGTGAGTTTTTACATTGCGTTATTATATATATATATATATATATATATATATATATATATATATATATATATATATATATATATTTTTGACAAATAGCATTACAAAATATCTTAACATTACAAAACGCTCATTATGCTATTCCATATGTTGCATCATTTGTAAGTAAATAACTATTGTATTATTTTTTAAAGAAGATTTAATTTAAATCTTTAGAAGATTATTCTGCCCTAAATCGTCCTTATATATAAAGAAAACAAAGATCTTTACCTGTAAGATTGTAAAATTCTCTAACACACTGTTCATCATGTATTTCTCAGGTAAGTGTTTTAACTTGTGAATAAAGTTGATCATATACTCGCACATCGGACTTCGATTAATTCTATATACAAATCTTCCATTTTCGTATCGAGCATACTCCGTCTCCACTTTTTCCACGACTTGTTTGCCAAAGGAGCAAACCTTCGTGGAACAGGTTATCGTCATATTGTCGTTACTTTCATACCTAAAAATAAATAAAGCATTATGTTAGTTTCAAAAACAAATAAATAAATGAAGTCTGTTTAAATGCCCATAAAAATACGGGCATCTCTCAAATTATAACAATATTATCATTAGTGCAACCTATACATCCTGCCATTGTTTAAACGAACAAATATTATGGAAATCAACTTAATGGTTATCGTATAATTAGTTTAGTCGATATTTAACATTCATTGTATAGCATTATATGTAGGTATATCAATATTTCCCGAATTATAATTATGATGTCACTGATACCTTCGTATGTTTAACTATTGTTTTGTTACACTTTACAAGAGCAAGTTTAAATACAGTTGTCAATAAATGATTTGTCTTTTTTACGCCAATGTTGCTTTGTACTTCTACTATACCGTGTTTGCAATGTCACTTTTTTATGATTTTTAACTTAGTGGTTTTGACTTAATACGTACTCCAGAGCTGGAGTACGTATTACGAACGATATATAGCAAACTTTTCCAAATAAACTAGTACAGATTTATTTGGGTTCGAGTATGAGCCTTCAGAATTTATTTTGTTACATTAAGCGCTCATCATGGAATAAATTAGAGTTAGAATAACCGCAACATAGCTTCCGAAAGCTAGTTTGAGATTTGGATAACACTGAGATAATTTTTGACAGAAATTAATTCCTGTAAGCCCGACTTCAATAGTTCATCACGGTTTGACGTCCTACAGTAACTTTTTTACGTATTTTTGATTATAACACCGGCAATACTGCATCCCGTCACTCTCGCTAGTCAGTCAACGACGAGTGGCGTGATTTAGACGTCAAATTGAAACGGTTTAGTACAGTTTCAGACTTCAGGGAGTTGTTGCTAATTTGATATTTTTTAATTGTCGGGAGGAACACCAGTGCCAATTCAACAAAAATGGTTACAAGAAAACCCAAAACCCGTTGACTGGTCGCCAGTAAAGAGAGCCAAAACAATTATCCCTCGTGGAGAAGGTTACACATATTAAGAAATACCAAACAAATTGGGTTGTGGCGCCACAAAATCAGGTGTAATGAAAGTGTGTAAACGTTATCATATCACTGGAACGTCAAAATCAGCAAAAATAACAGGCAGAAAACCGAAAGTTAGTCAACACTATGAGCGCAGAACATGCACCCTGTTTTTAGAAGACCGTAGCAGATCCGTAAAAGACATTAATGTTATTGTCAAATGTACTGGGTAACAAATTTCGGACCGCACCATCAGAAGGAAGTTGTGTGAAAATGGATTGTGATAAAGAAGCCGTTCCTGAACAAAAACACATTGATTGGTACACATACAGAGAATGGACAGAAGAACAGTAGAATAAGGTAATTCGATCATGAATACGAGTAATGTGATCATGAAACCAGAATCTAAATCTTTGGGAGTGATGTAGTGAAGTTTGTTCACCGTCGACCGAAGAAGACCTTTTGCTCCAGTGTACCAGGGTCACTATGAAGCACAGTGAGTGTTATGGTATGGGTTTGTACGACCACAAACAAAGTTGGACGTTTGGCATTAATGGAAGACACTATTAATGCAAAAAAATATCATGAAGAAACATTGCAAGTTAAACTACTGGCTACTATCAGAGATTTGTTTGAATGGGGTGCTCCCAATGCATTTTCAAGCAGGATGTCTTTCTGTCATTCTCCCAAGAGTTCCATTGAAAGTTAAGAAAAATCTATTGTCATTTTGTGTCATATATCGTGTGTATTTTCCTTTAAATCTAGAGGTTTTATAAAAAAAAATCTGGTATACTTCCGTTTTTAGAAGATTGGAACGTCTTTTCATCAGAGAATATGGGAAGAATTATTCTTCTTCATATAAATTAAAAATCCATTTGTAATTTTCTTCTTTGCAAACTTCTGTTTGCAAAGAAGTTACTTTTTTTATAGTTAAAAGACTTTTGAAGGCAAAATAGTTGTAAACGTATTTTTTGAGTTGCACGGAAAGATCCCAGAACTAATGTATGTCCTTATGCCTTTAAATCATGGACGTATAAACATAGATGGACACAGCAATAAGATACTTTTAACACACAATGTTTTGAAGCTTCGATAGAATGTGATGCTTCCGCAAGGAGCATAAGCGTGCTTGAATTTTTACTAGCGGGTAATTATTCAGATTTTAAAAATTCGAAGTAGTAATAATATATAAAAACACATTCAAGGAATTTACAAAAACGAGAGTTTAACTATTAACAAATCACGTCTTTATATAAAAATTAAAATTCAATTTTATTTGCTTTAAAATTAATACAATTAAATATAGTTCAATTCAAGTTAATTTTTTAATGGGTATCAAAATAATGCTACAATAAAAAATCTTTATGTTTTCTCCGAAATTTGCTACCCAAATAGTTCGATCGTCAATATTATTTGGAACACTACATAGAAAAATAAATGAGTTTTATTAATTTCACTAATTTATTTGTATGCATGAGAAATATTAAATTAAAAAGGTACTAAACAGATCTTTTTTAATCAGATGATGTCTACTTACAATTTAAAAATGTATACTAATTTCATCAACTCATATCTTATTCAATACATTAATGAACATGAATAAACCCAATGGTACGCCTATTAAAATGTAAACAAACACGCTTCCTCATCTTAAATAATGTAAATTGTATGTACTTACAAATGAAATGAGAGATCGGGATGTAAATATTTCGTTTATTTTATTACACTTTTCACAAATATCACTCAAAATACAGCCAAAATATCGAAAAATAACTTTTCCTCATCTACTGTAAAAAGTAAACAAACATGGAACAATGATAATGCACACTATGTGCACGCTTGATATTTTGATTACAATTAAATATATTAATCTAACCAATAAATTATTATTTTGGTTTGATAGCATCTGTAGAGTATAAAATACGGAGTAATACTTAATACTTTCAGCGACTCGCGAATAAGAAATTTTAAAATAAAACGTGTCAACAGTTGAAGGTGCTGAGAATGTGACCTCTTCAAATGATTTTGACTACACAATTTTATGTAAATAACTGAGTCCATCTGTGTTTATACGTCCATGCTTTAAATCGATTTCAAAAGATGTTGGCGGATTATTGTACGAGAAAACTGTCTTCATTTTCATTACTTTTCATTTATTTTCTCTGAAAGGTTGTGGCATTCTTTGTTGTTTTTGTCTGTGTTTGTTAACGTAAAGTATGCAATTTTTACTGACACTTCACTTAAAGACCAATTTTTCTACGGACCTCGGATTTCTGAGCCTGTTAAAGGATGCATTGGCATTTTTTGCCAATTTTTCTATGCCTTCAGATTTCTGAGTCTGTTAATGTTGCATTAAAAATTTATTTGACAATAATTTTTAAAATCTGTCAAATGTGAATGCAACGAACGACTAAAATTCAAAGTCACACTTGTCATTCATTATCATTATCATTGTCTTTGCGTTTCTCTCTGAAAGGTTGTGGCATTCTTTGTTGTTTTTGTCTGTGTTTGTTAACGTAAAGTATTCAATTTTTACTGACACTTCACTTAAAGACCAATTGTTCTACGGATCTCGGTTTTCTTTGCCTGTTAAAGGATACATTGACATTTTTTGCCAATTTTTCTATGCCTTCAGATTTCTGAGCCTGTTAAATGTTGCATTAAAAATTTATTTGACAATAATTTTTAAAATCTGTCAAATGTGAATGCAACGAACGACTAAAATTCGAAGTCACACTATATTAAATTTTTTAATTTTAGCTTTAAAATTTCGATTACGTCAAGTGTAGCTGATAGACAGCTAATTGGTATGTAGGAGTCGTGTTCTGGAAAGTAACTGAAATGAAGATATAAAAAGAAAAACGAAAAGATAAAGGATTATTGAAAGACAAAAATAAACAGAAGTAGGAAAAACAGAGAAAAAGGGACAGATACATATAGAGAAAAACGAATAAGAAAAATATAGAGCAAAATTGAAAAAGTGAGAAGAGAGAAAATATTTACAGAGATGGAAAAAAAGAAAAAAAGTGTTATGTTAATAATTTTATTAATTATTCTCTTTTGGAAACGTCGTGTGTACTATTTCATCAATTCTAAGGAACTACCTGATTCGATCTAAAAAACTGTATACTTACGAACTCGTGACTCCGTAAAAGGCTCCTGTCTCGTCTTGAATGTTTGAGTTTAGGTCCGCCCAAAACTTAACGAGGAAGAAGGCGTTTTGAGGACCTTTGTCGTACAATTCTTTCAGTCCGCCCTTCTTCTCGGGGAATTTGTCGTATATCTGCCGAACGTCCACTGCTTCGAGCAGGGGATCTGAGTATGACAGCGCTGGTCCTCCTATGTGTACGAAAAGATGTTTTTGATACTAAAAATAAAACAAATGTATCAATAAAAATACGAAAAGCAAAGTTAACAAGTTAAAAAAGTATCTCTTAATATTATTTTTCATACAAATCACGGCAGCTTGTTGCACATATGCACAGAAATATCTGTTTGTACTACTGTATGTAGTACAGGCAGTCTGTGTGCCTTTGGCTGTACTACTATCCGACAAGGTCCAACTAGGCATCATCATCTTTTTTTTGGCTGGGGTGTATTTGTCTGGTGTGGATATTTGGATCAGGTGCCTCGTTTAGGCAGTCTTTTGCTCCTTCACTGAATTTTTGGGTTGAGGAGTGAGCACTGGTGTTTGGATTTTTCTATCACTGTGTGTGGTTGTATTTTGGTTTTCTGCAGTTTCCTTTTTTGAGATAAATACGTTGCGGGTAGCTGTGGCTGTTACCTTCCTATAAACAGATATAATTGTCTAATGGGATCGGGAAACAACAGAAAACCTGTCCGTATGCAAGGCTCGAAGTGAGCTATTTATCTAATGATGGTAAGCCTTAAATATGTCCCTCTATTCATTAGGATGATAATTGCAAATTGGTAGGGAGGTGAGTGAGTTTGTTTTTTTGGGTGTCTGAAGAATGTTTTTTGGGTGTAACACCTGCTCAAAGATCAAGTTTCTTAACTATGGTTGGGATGTTCGAGAGTTGATGTATTTGGGAGTAGAGGAAGTCATTGTGTGTGAGGTGTTAGCTGAGTAGAGAAGAGGTTTGCTCTATATCAAAGGACATTTGTACGTTTTGTATTTGTGTATTTTGTACGTTTATCTTGCGTTCGTCCGAATATGTCATATACAGTATTGAGGAGGTTGACTTTTGAGTTTTTTTTTTGCCTATCTAAGGTTGCTCTCAGATCAGGACCAAAGTGCAGCGTTCTGCTAAACACAATGCCGCGAAGAAAGACTTTTATACAGAAAAGACATGCACTTTCGTGCATTCTACGCTGCTTTCTATAAAACAGATTACGGAAATTTACTTCTCTGGAATACAGAGGAATGTTTGAAATATGTTTGTAATCATTGATAGTGGATATCCACTATTTAATAAGATGCTTCTTCTTCTTCTTCGTGCGACTTGGATTACTCCTGTTTGTCTGCCGCTTATTCTGTTTCAGTCGTTGTTGACTGTACATTATCTTTCCACCTTTTTGGCAGCCTTCCAACGGGTCTTCTGCTATACGGCTTGTTGTTTTTACAGATGTTCGCTAATCTATCTGGTTGCTGTGATATTGGAGGTGTGGAGCTGCCTTTGTAGGTCATCTTCGTTATCAGCAATTAGTACTGCATCATCGGCATAGCATAGTATCGTGATTTTATGCGTTCCCATGTGGTATCCGTATCGTTTTCTTACTTCGTGAATTATTTGATTCATCACCATACTAAATAACAATGGGCTGAGCGAGTCTCCTTGGCGGATTCCTCCTTTTAGTTCTATGCATTTTGTTTCTCCTATTGGCATTATAACTCTGGTCTTGTTGTTCTTGTTAATTTCATTAATTGACCTTATTATCTGATAATAAGATGGAACTAGGCCAAAACATGTATAAGTGTAAATGAAGACAGGCCTTTGGAGAGAACAGACAAACAACCATTTGTGCCTTCTAGTGTACTTTATAATTTATATTTATACAGTCAACTAATCTATCAGCCTCCGACTACAACTTTATCCATCAAGAGTTTTACATGTCCTTCATATTGATGCAAACAGCATTTACTAAGCAATGCTTGTCAAATATTTCACCGGTAATTGAAAATTTGACGCGATCTTTCCCAAGAAAATAATTTATTTGCCTAACTATGGTTTGGCAATATTGTCCGTGAGAAAAACACATTTCAACATACATTATATATAAGTTTATAGCCCATAAAATTTTCATTTCGTGTAATGTAATTTCAATGTGAATTGGAAATTAAAATTGATTAAATTTCGCATATTGCCATATTGATGTATCAAAAATAAATACTGAGTTAGTTAAATGAATTCGTATAAAATTCCTGGGATGTATAAAACATTTTCAAGATTGCAGAACAATTTAAGAAAATATAAATTTAAAGCATATTTGGTATTACTAAGAATATTTTTCCTATTGTCATTAAAGCTAATAACCCAATTAATAGAGTCAATCAACGAGTCTTTTGGTCGTCTAAAAACAACATCACCATCATCTGTATGTTTTCAGTGTACTACAGGACATAGGCCTCCTCTGTTTGTATCAACAGTGTACAGATGTACAGTGTAAAGATGGAAAAAAATTGAGTTTTTATTAGTACACAAATAATATAAAAACAGAATATCAGGTATTTAATGTTATTGGGAGTGTGCAAAAGTTGCAGATATTTACATGCATCAATTGAAGTAATTGATGTGTTGTACGCTAGAAGAATCGTATTGAAATGTACTCTATTGTATTATCAGTTATCATTTCGTTGCCAAATGAAAAACAATTTGAAATTATTTACAAAAATTTTGTTTTTTCGTCTGGATTAATCAACGTCTGATGACTGGATCAATTAATATAATTTCCATTAGCACTCTCCTGCAATTATTCTAGCGTATGCACTTATAGTCTGTTGGTCACGTTGGTATTGTTTGTGTTTTACAACAACAATACAATCAAAATAAACATAGGCCACAAGATATCCAAAAGATTTGTGGTAAATAAAGGCCTCAAATAAGGATGCTGTCGGTTTCCGACTTTGTTTAAGATCTACTAGAGCAGTGGAAAAGGAAATATAGTGGTATGGGAATCCCATAAACACCAAATATATGCCACCACACTTATGCTTCGCAGATGACCAAATTGTTTTTGGCCCAGTACTACGAAGATCTCGAATATATAATCCGTAAACTTATTCAGGAATATCAAAAATGAGGTTTAGAAGTAAACATGAAAAAACAGAACACATGTACAAAGATGGAGAAAAACAAAGTCTAATCTTGGAACAGCAACACCAACAAATAAACCATTGTAAAAAATACAAATATCTAGGCATACATATAACCAATGACGGCAATTTAGACGCAGAGATTAAATATAGAAATATCGATAGAAGAATCCAAGTAATTTGAAAAATTAACAGCATGTCGGGGATTGAACAATTTCGAAAGAAAATAAACAGAGAATCTATAATATAATTATCAGCAGAACTGTTACATATGGAAGTGAAATATGACCACCCCAAGGACTTAAGAAGTACCAGAAATTGATTATTAGAGGAGAGCGGCCGGTAAATCAAGATCAGACAGAGAGAAACAAAAGAATTCAAGAAACCATGGGTGTTAAGCATAATATAACAGAGGAAATCAGAATCAACCAACCAAGATCATACGAACACGTTCAAAAGAAAGAAAGAAGGTCAGAATGAGATTAAGTTGGAGAGAATGAGTCGATAAGGATACCAGAGTGAGAGCAATAGACGAGTACCTTTTGAATCACCGAGATAAATGGTCACGCTATCTAATACTTTCTTAGAATTCGAGAATATAATTGTGAAAAAAATTACTCTTAAACTGAATGATTTTAGTATGCATAAATCGACGACTTGAAATATACTTACTTCTTCTCTGTTCGGTGATTCCATGAAAGCAGAAAACTCCACCAGCCTTAATTTATGTGTAGCAATAGCCCTTCCCTCCCAAACTGGTGGTGGGGCTGATTGCAGGGCTCCAACTTCTCCCGCAGATACAGCTGTCGCCGGTTTACCTGCCGTGTATGCTGCCTGGGCAAATGGTTTGACACTAAAAAAGTAACACTTGTATCAGATTGTGTTCAAAAATTATTCTATAAAAAAATTGTATACTAACAATATTGACCAAACGAAAACAAGAAGTTACAGTTAGCAGTTTAATAATGATTTGGAATATTTTCTGGGAACTGAAGAAAAAATTAACAGCGTAATATGAAAAATCTCCCATTTTAAAATTATGGATAAAACTACTTTATTTTGAAAAATGTCATCAATTGTGCAATATTCGGACATCGAGTTCAAGAAATTCACAAAACATCATCTAAAAGTCGCCGTGTATAATATACTTAAACATAAGCGCTGTATGTGTCCTGGTCCGCGCTTACCTTCGATCATACCCTGTCTTATGCGTCGAATGAAGTAGTATCTATTAGTTGTGGCATCTCCTTCTTCTTAAAGAGTCACGTCTGTGATTAAACGTAGGCTATTATCATATTTATAAGCTCTTTGAATGTTTCTCCATCAGCTGCTGAGTGAAATAGTTCTTCGGTTGTCATATCAAAATACCTTTTTACGCCCTATCCATCTTTTGTCTTCAAATTTTCTCGGTTTGATAAGGCGACGTAAATGGCATTTGAATCTTCTAATTATGGGTCCAAAATATTTCGTTTTTCTTCTCTTTAAGATGTTCAGTAGCTCATATTTAGTGTTCAGCACTTTCGTTGGAAGTTTATTCTGAGAATCCTAGATTCTAATTTGTTCAACGTTGTTGCTTTTAGAGTCCATGTCTCACAATGATAAAATAGGATCGACCAAACATAAATCCTCCAAATTATTTTACGAAGATTTAATGATAGATTTCTATTACACAGAACTCATACATGCCTTATATGATATCTTCTACTTTCTCTCCATCTATTCAAATTTGCTGTTGAGCTATATGTATTTTATCACCTGATATCAAGAATTTGTTGTGGTGTACCTACTCAGCAATGATAACGTGTTTTGGTATACTTAGAATTAATCTATTATACCAAATATGATCAAAAGTGTGGGCTCTTATCAATTGTATATTATTTCCTTTTGACGCCAATTTGAATATATTTATCCTGAACACGAAGCAACAATAGCATTTTGAAATCACGAGTTGGTATCAACAGTAATTTCCATCCTTTTACCATAATTTAATACCAATTTGTACGAAGTGGTTTAAATCAAAAACCATGTCGAATAATTTTTTATTGACGTAATTGCAGGTATATATATACTAAACAGATCTATTAATAATCGGTAAAATTATACAAAAAGCTGCATATTATTAGAATATATTTTTGTTCCCAACACATGAATTGTATGCTTAATCATTATCAAAGACAGTTTTTGTAGATGTTTGCTTTGATCTCGATTATTATGTGTATAAATATATCTCTTTGAGACATGTCAAATGTAGAACCAGAATTATTTAAACATATAGAACTACTCAAAAAATGTTATTCATTAATTTGGTGTCAATATGACTGAGGAATAAAAAATGTATCGATATCAGTTTGGACTCCAATATTTGATAAAAAAAAACATAGAGATTAGGCCAAGCTGTTGAGATTTTTTTGGCCTTCAAAATGTAACAGCAAACCACCTCTACTATATTTTGAAAAGTGGTTCGTAGAACATAAAAAACCAAAATCAGTACAAACGAAACTTCGCTTAAACTGAAAAATCTTAATATAATGCTAATTTAATCGGACTTTTGTAGAGAATCAAAAAACAAACAATTTTTTTTTTATAAAACCTTATCAGTGCCTTTTTCGCAGACAACTTTCTAACTTGGACCCTGTTACAGTTGGAAGACTAATTATCTACATAATGTTTGTATATAATATATTGTTTAAATAGGCGATGGTAGAATCTGTCCGACATATAGTTTTTTGGTTAAATCTTAGTTTGAATGTTTTGCACCAATATTTTGTATGGCTCAGCACGTAGAACGAGCTATCTCGCTTTTGGAACGAAGAAGTGGTGGATTGAAGGAAACGAGCAGGAGTGTACAATTCACATGCTGCAAAAATGGGATCGGAAATATTTGTATTTGTGTTTACTGTACATTTATAACTATTCAAAATGATGAATAAAATTGTACCAGCTATACACACATCCAGATATTGTGAAATGTATTAAAGTGCAGAGGCTAAGATGGGCTGGACACATTACTAGAATATCACAGTCAAAGTCACTGGACGTTGTTCTTGAAGCCTAGTTTTGATCTGTGAAGATGTCGAAAAGCTATTTTTAAGCAAACCTCCAACAATTATTCTGTTGTAGTTGCTCTCTCTGCAGTTGCTTTTTCCAGCTTTGTCCTCTGCACCTCGTATACACTATATTCTGTCAATGTCATTAAACAGTGCAAAAAACTATACATTTGGATACTAGCAACATTTAGATAACTTCTTTCAAATATGGCAGGTGACTGGTGGTAAGTGTATCAATTTTCAAACAAAATTACAAAATACTTACTCTTGAGAAGTTCCAGGTTGTAATCCAGGCTGCCAAAATTGCTAAAACCAAAACGAAACCATTACTGAGTAAATGTAAATATAAAATAATCTAAAAGCATTGAACGTCATATAACTAATACTATTTTACCTTACTTTTAGAACTTTACAAAGCACTTTAAGCTTTAATTTTGATTCTAGATTCATTTCATTCATTACCACAAATTCTAGCTTGCTTTTTTATATTAAATATAATTTTCATTTCTTTCCCTATTTTCTCTAGCACAAGATCTTCAAGATCAGAATATAGATACACTCATATTTCAAAATATTCTAATTTCTTTGCTGTTTAATTATTAAGAGTAGAACCTTTTAATCCATAGAAGAGAATGGGGATACATAACACTACACCATTCTAATTCTCATGTTAAAAGATAGTTCTGGTGATGTTAACAGTTTCTTTATTCTTATACAAACCGATCTCATGATTTCTTGTTTGTATTGAAGATTCTCGTTAATTAGGGTTCCAAGTATTCGACTGAATGAGTCAAAGGCTACTGATACACACATCACGGAACGAAAGAGCAATTACTTGTATATAGTATAGTGATCTTTAATGGGATCCAATAGAGCCACTATGTCCAATAAGACGTTATTACCACACATTTGGTCCACTACAATATGCACCGGGAAGTGTATCCCTTTAGTATTTTTTTTTTGAAATTTGGACAATAATCTCATCATTATTATCATCACCCAGCCCTTTGTGTCCCTTGCTGGACATAGGCCTAGACATACTTCTTATGTCTAACCTTGGCCTCAACTCAAACAATCTCTTCATCTTCAACTTTCATCACTCATTCGGGCAACGTGTCCGGCCCAGTTACATTTTAGTGTGGCAATTCATGAAATTACATCGGTAACTTCTGTTCTTCGTCTTAAGTCTTCATTTCTTACTCGGTCAGCAAGCGATATACTCAGCATTGACCTTTCCATTTTCCTCTGAGCTATTTGCAGCGTTTTTGCAGCGTTTTAGAAGTTGTAGCTGTGAATGTCAAAGTTTCGACACCATAGGTCATCACAGGAAACACACATTTTAAAGAAATTGGTATATCGCTTTTAAATATGTCTTTGAGTTTTCCATAGGCTGCCCATGCTAGGTTTATCCTTCTTCGTAGTTCGCATGTTTGGTTGTCTCTAGTGATCTTTATTTCGTGTCCAAGGTATATGTATTTTTCCACTAGATCTACTTCGTGGTCTCCAATATTTATATTTCCGTTAGGTACTAGGTTTGTCATGCATTTTATTTTGGAGATGTTTATTTTTGACTAGACCCATATTGGCGCACACTAACTGAAGTTCATGTAGAAATTCACTTACGTAGAAAAAAAAAGAGTTTTTTTCTTCTCGTTCTGCATTCTAACGAAGGTTGGCGGTCACTTCTTTAAACGCTTCCCTATCTCTTGCAACGTGAAATATCTGTTCTACACTGAGATTAGTCCAATATCTGATATAACTCAGCCAATATTTCCTTTTTATTCCCACGCCCATATCTTTCTATTGGATCCAATGTGTCTAATACTTCTTCATTTGTAATTCTAGCCGCCCAAGGAATTTTTAGAATACATCTAGCTGCATTTGGTATGCCTTTAATTTTTTTATGGATTGGGATTTTAATGTCCCGGTAGCCGGTAGTTTCTACCCCATACAGTAGCTGCGAACAAACATACTCTAGAACCGAAAACTAATTAACAAAAAGAATTTCTTATTTGTGAACATTGAGGTATTGAACTAGGTATTTATCCTTGTCGATTCTCTGCTGTTTATCTCCAGTGTTATTTGTACGTTGTTGATAGGGGTTTTGAGTCAGTCCCAATTTTTATCCTCCATTCTTCTTTCCAAAAAGACTTGTATATTTTCTGCCATTTTTGCGGTATCATCTGCAAATCTTATATTATTATTGATGTTCCCTCTAATTCTTACACATTTAATTCCCGTAGTGCTTAAATATTAGTTGCAAGTATACATTAAACAATTTTAGTGATAGTGCACTGTCTACTACCCTTGCAGTTTGATTATAATATAAATTTTTGATTAGACTAATATCCTTAGGATCTAGGTTTGTTTCTTGTGTCTATATATAAGTTTACCGTGTTGGACTAGGCTAAACGCTTTTTGGAAATCTATAAAACATGAACAGAGTGATGCTCTTGTGCCCATTCGACCTCTAAATCCAAAGTGTGTGTTGTCTAAATGCTCTTATTTTTTATATATGCGCTGTGGAATAACTTTCAGTAGAACTTATTTTACTGTAATTATAATTCAATATAAATATTATATATATATATATATATATATATATATATATATATATATATATATAAATCTCTACAATTTCACAAAGTTAAAAGCATCATTATACTTAGTTTTTGTTAAAATTTTATTTTAGTAGGTTTAGAGCTCTTAGTGCAATAAAATCTGACAATATAACTGACATCTACAGCGAATGTTGATAAAAGTGTATCGTCTGTTTCCTTGGCATTAAAATTTAAGGTAGAGAAA